TGAGTCAGGCGGGCGAGAGAGAGAGAGAGAATATGAAGAAATATTAATGGTCAGGCAGGCGGGCAGAGAGAGAGAGAAAGATATACAATATTAATGTGGTCAGGCAGGTGGGCAGAGAGAGAGAGAGAATACAATATTAATGTGGGGAGTCAGGCAGGCGGGCAGAGAGAGAGAGAGATACAATATTAATGGAGTCAGGCAGGAGGGCAGGGAGAGAGAGAGATACAATATTAATGGGTCAGGCAGGCAGGAGAGAGAGATAAAATATTGAGGGCAGCAGGCAGGAGAGAGAGATACAATATTAATGGAGTCAGGCAGGCGGGCAGAGAGAGAGAGAGAGAATACAATATTAAGGAGTCAGGCAGGAGGGCAGAGAGAGAGATAGAGAGAGATACAATATTAATGTGGTCAGGCAGGTGGGCAGAGAGAGAGATACAATATTAATGGAGTCAGGCATGCGAGCAGAGAGAGACAGAGATACAATATTAATGGATTCAGGCAGGCGGGCAGAGAGAGAGAGAGAGAGAGAGATACAATATTAATGGATTCAGGCAGGCGGGCAGAGAGAGAGAGAGGAGAGAGAGATACAATATTAATGGAGTCAGGCAGGCGGGCAGAGAGAGAGAGAGAGAGAGAGAGAGATACAATATTAATGGGGTCAGGCAGGTGGGCAGAGAGAGAGAGATACTATATTAATGGAGTCAGGCAGAGAGAGAGAAAGATACAATATTAATGGGGTCAGGCAGGCGAGCAGAGAGAGAGATACAGTATTAATGGAGTCAGTTAGGCAGGCAGAGAGAGAGAGAGAGAGATATAATATTAATGGAGTCAGGCAGGCAGGCAGAGAGAGAGATCCATTATTAATGGGGTCAGTTAGGCGGGCAGAGCCATGGCCGTGCTCCTGCTCTTGCGTCCCTCCTCAAAGCTACTGAATAATGGAAGGAATGTGTCTCCTGCACCAACTATTTTACCTCGTCACCTGTGTGTGTGTACTGTACTTGTACAGTGGTGTGAGGGTCACTGGTCTGACCCTGGTCCAGGCCAGGTCATGCTTACTGGCCCAAGGCAGTGTTGTATCTCCTTTGTGTGTTTGTGGTGTGTGGATACCTAAAGGGTGTGTTACTAGGCGCCTTAATCATCTTGCCAGTCACGACATATAAGACGCAAACCCTCACCTCCAGATACCACCACAGGTTGTTCCTGCCCGGCCCTCTGCCCTCTCTGTAATGTCAACCAGAGCACCTTGGAACACACTCTCCTGCACTTCATTGTCTGTGTATGTCCTGTGTACAGAGGGTCTAACATGTAAGTTGTAATGGGTATTCTCCCCCATCTCTTTGTAGACGTTCCAGTCTGGTGATCACAACCAAGATCTTCTGGGGTGGAAAGTATGTTGACTCTTCTCTGGGTGTCTTTGTGTCCCAAAGAGAAATGTGCTTCTGTGTGTAATTTGTCTGGGGTTGTGAGTGACTGGCGCTGTAATGGAGTATCTATCTAATGCCCTCTGGTTAATGTGATCATGTGTAATCCACACTGAATCTATATAATGGCCTTTTAGTCAAGCTGAAATGTATATCATGTGATGTTGTTACTGAGATGGACTAAATTACGAAGAGATAGATAGATTATATGATGGAAAGAAAGCAACTGCTGTAATTCAACTGTGGAATGTGTTTTTCACCAATAGAGCAGAGACTGAGAGAGGCTTATCCCGAAAACACATTATAGAAGGTAAGTAAGCTGCAGACAGACAGACAGACAGACAGACAGACAGACAGACAGACAGACAGACAGACAGACAGACAGACAGACAGACAGACAGACAGACAGACAGACAAATCACACAGATCAAAGACAGGACGAGAACTTTAAATGCTGATGGTAAATCAAACAAAATACATCCTAATTAGTAGCTTTGGCTCCAGGGAGAAGAGACTCCATTTTGATAATTGAGAGTTTGGGACTATCTTGGGGCTTAGGAGTTTTACTGAGAATGTCCATTCATTATCTGTAGAGAAAGAAACACCTTATAGCAATCACATTTATTTGAAAATCCTAGCTGCAATATTGAGCACAACCTCACAATAGCATAATCAATACCAAATGGCTGCATTCATTTCCCTGAACAACAGTAGTGTGTGTAACTGTGGCTGTGATGCATGTCATTGTAGGTTTAAAGGCCTCACTGGAGAGACTACAGTTAGAGTATGTGGACGTGGTGTTTGCAAACAGACCGGACCCCAACACTCCCATGGAAGGTAAGGAGGAACATCTTGGTCCGCTTCTGTCACTGGCTTCTGGTGTCTGCCTCTTCTCTGTTCCCCTGCTTTCTCTTCTCCTGCTGTGTTATCTCCATCCCATAAGGTTGCTGTAGATTGTCTGAGCGTTCTCTGACATGCCTATGTCCACCCTAACTCACTGGGCTATATGGTTCTATATAGTGCATGAATCTTTGTACTCATCTCACCCCATTCTTCCTCACTGGCAGCAGTCTAACACCATTGGTAGCGTTAAATAAGAGTGAATAGCGTTTTCTCTCTTGGTTGCTCACAGGCTCAAACATGGCCATCAGACAAACTGTAAATGACTAGCTTGTCTGACTTGCTCAACTTTGGGTCATATCAGAACAGTTAGCTACATAGCATTGGTCTCTCCGCTCATTGTAGTGTGTGTATGTTATTTTTTTTGATTGGCAGAGACGGTGCGGGCGATGACCCACGTGATCAACCAGGGCATGGCCATGTACTGGGGCACGTCCCGCTGGAGCCCCATGGAGATCATGGTGAGACAAGGGGTGAAAGTAAGCCAGTACAGAGTACCGGCAAAATAAAGAAACAGCCTATCACAATAATTAAAACAAAGATGGCAAGAAAACTATAATTTATCATTACCGCCTGTCAGCCGCATGAGAAATTAGCGAATGGACTTGAAAACGGGTGTATACACTCTAGAATGTGGTGTGGTTCAGGCTGCTACAGTGTGCCTAATGACAATCGCCGAATGTCATTACACTTTTCAGTGTTTTAATAGATGTCTCTTTCAATTCGTCAAATGGCGGGTGCACTGTGCACTGTTTTAGATGCTGGAAGTATTTTAGTGGACGAACCTGCGCAGGTAGCCTACTTTTTAAAGTGATTTGTTTGACAATCAGATGAAAACATCATGCCTGGTTGTGTTCATGCTACATTAAAAGGTAATAAATACATTTGTACAGTTAAATGACATGTCTTTACTATTAGGCCCATACATGTTTTTAGTGTATGCGTACATAGGAGGTCCCGTACTGGGAAGAAATTCAATCTACTTTCACCCCTGGGTGACACACACACAGCCTCCTCTCCTTCCAGTCATCATTCTGCCCAGACCCAGTCTCACCACTGGCAATGACATGACACCACTATAACATCCTCTCACTGACTGGGCTAGACTGTGACATATTTTTACCATGACTTTCACAATATTGATTGATGGGCATCACAACCTTTTTCTGTTCATGCTTTGATTAGCCGTTGGCCACTGTACAGTACTCTTCAGGCTAACGGCTGCTGTTCCCTGTGTGTCCTGTAGGAGGCATACTCTGTGGCGCGACAGTTCAACCAGATCCCTCCTATCTGTGAGCAGGCTGAGTACCACATGTTCCAGAGAGAGAAGGTAGAGGTGCAGCTGCCAGAGCTCTTCCATAAGATAGGTGAGTGGAGGTGGTCTGGACAGACTGATAGGACACAACAGTATTTCATACACAAGGATAGCTATTCAATTATTATTATTATGGTTCTAATATGTAATTCTATGATTGCATAGATATAAGTATGCTGCAGCTTACAAAGGTTTCTGTGGCAATGTTATGCTTTTAAATACAGTAAATACTTAGCCTTACAAAAAAGAGGGGAGAGGGTAGCAACACCCAGGGATGGATGCTCTCCTCGTCCCTCTTTTTGGAAAGCGCAGTCTAGACAGAACAACATGTCTATACTGAGTGGTGGTGGTGATGGTGACAGTGCTGACCCCATGTTCCCATGTTCTCAGGTGTGGGGGCGATGACATGGTCACCGCTGGCCTGTGGGATCATTTCAGGGAAATACGACAGCGGGGTCCCACCTTACTCCCGCGCCTCTCTTAAGGTAGCATTACCCCCCCTCTCCTGTGACCCTGTTCACCTCTCTGGTTTCTCCTTTGGTCTCAGCTCATGTGTCATGTCAGCCCCTCTTCTCCTCAGCCCTCTTCTTATCCTGGCTGGTTCCTGTCTTAACAGATATGATCTGTGTCTTTCAGGTTCTAGAACTTGGTGTCTCCTAGATGTTTGTTTTTGAGTGCCCTGTAACAGCATGCACTGTGTACCAACTTTGTGTACCAACTCTGTGTACCAATTCGACCACCAGCAGTTATTTGACACGACGTGTCAGGTTGTGTCAACTCAAGCAGCTTATCTCACATTTTCACACACACAGAGGCACACACATGCACACACTCACACGCACATACACATATATTCATCAGATGACAGCAACATACACGTACTGCATCACAAATTCAGAAACTAGGGCATACTCTCTCCCTGTGTTGTCACAGTGGCATACAGGATTGCTGTAGGTGGTCTGGGCGTTCTCTGTGGTCTTAACCAATGTTCCCTCTAATTTGTTTCGGCACTGCGAAAAATGTCAGGTCTGCTGAGCGCAAACTTGAACGTTGTGAAAATTCTGTGCAACTTCCAGGGCGTTTACTGTAGGCTACTGTGGCTATTTGATCATAATGTAGGCCTACCAGAGTGGCCTACCATCAAAAACAATGGAAAAAATACATCTATAACATTTTAACAGGGAAATAGTTGTTCTATCATTCAGCCTACAGTAGCAGCCAATGTGTGGTGTTCAATGTAGGCCTGCCTACATTCCATAAGACTTGAAAAAAACATGCAGGGTTTGACATTAACCTGTTTATCCACTTGTCCTTCAGACAAGGAGGTGACTGAAAATGTTGTTGTGTTTGATTGCAGAAACCACTCTACAAAATGAAACGCATTATTATTCCCATACCATTATTACAGAGAATCAGACAAATTATGCTACCCTCTGCCTATTGGTTACTTAGCTTATTCAAGCCTGTCTAAAAATACAACACTGCCCCTTTAAGACAAAAAATAGCTCTTTACCTGACTTGTTTTTCAAAGCACGTTTTGTCCTCTTGTAGGAAGCAATCACTCCCATATTGCTGACTACAACTGGGCTAATAACTCACTAACTAGCAAAGGATATGAACAAAATGTGCACATGTGGCTACATGCAGCTCTCAAAACAAGCACATCTATTCACGACCACAGCTGTAAACACAGTCCAGTTCAAAGTAAATGGCACAGATCCATATATGGCAATGGTCTATTTGCATATACAGTGCATTCGGAAAGTATTCAGACCCCTTGACCTTTTCCACATTTTGTTACGTTACAGTCTTATTCTAAAATTGATTAAATAAAAATATGTCCTCATCAATCTACACACAATACCCCATAATGACAAAGTGAAAACAGGTTTTTAGAAATGTTAGCAAATTTATATAAACAATAAAACTAAACAAAAAACATATTTACATAAGTATTCAGACCCTTTGCTATGCGACTCGAAATTGCGCTCAGGTGCATCCTGTTTTCATTGATCATCCTTGAGATGTTTCTACAACTTGATTGGAGTCCACCTGTGGTAAATTCAATTGATTGGACATCATTTGGAAAGGCACACACCTGTCTATATAAGGTCCCACAGTTGACAGTGCATGTCAGAGCAAAAACCAAGCCATGAGGTCGAAGGAATTGTCCGTAGAGCTCCGAAACAGGATTGTGTCGAGGCAAAGATCTGGGGAAGGGTACCAAAACATTTCTGCAGCATTGAAGGTCTCCAAAAACACAGTGGCCTCCATCATTCTTAAATGGAAGAAGTTTGGAACCACCAAGACTCTTCCTAGAGCATCTCTGGAGAGACCTAAAAATACCTTTGCAGCGACGCTCCCCATCCAACCTGACAGAGCTTGAGAGGATCTGCAGAGAAGAATGGGAGAAACTCCCCAAATACAGGTGTGCCAAGCTTGTAGCGTCATACCCAAGAAGACTTGAGGCTGTAATCGCTGCCAAAGGTGCATCAACAAAGTACTGAGTAAAGGGTCTGAATACTTATGTAAATGTGATATTTTCATTTTTTATTTTTAATAAACTTGCAAACATTTATAAAAACCTGTTTTTGCTTTGTCATTATGGGGTATTGTGTGTAGATTGAACAATTTAATCAATTTTAGAATAAGGCTGTAATGTAACAACGTGGAAAAAGTAAAGGGGTCTGAATACTTTCCGAATGCACTGTAGGCCTACTGCAGCTCTGATTGGTTATGCCGCACCGGTCTGTGTAGAGTCGTGTGCAATAGAATCCTACTCCGATGCGTTCTGCCTACAACAGAATCTCTTGCATAGTTCGTTTTGTTTCGGTATGTTGCATTGAAAGTGGCTAATATTGCGTTGATTCGAGCACAATTGCCACAGTAAAGGGAAACGTTGGTAGTGTTAACTAACAGGGAAAATTCTAGAAAGTTGAGTGAAGTTCAATCTCGTACTTCTCTCCATGGGCTGATATTTCTTCTGAGCTCTGCACGGAAGTCCAGGGAGCTGCACGGCAGTCTTAGAGGGAACAATGGTCTTAACCCTGTGCAGTTAAGGAAACCAGTTCTCCTTCTCACTATGTGGCTGATGTTCTCCTGAGTAGAGTGTTCATTCATATGTTCTGCCGTTGTTTCCTGGTTAGGGGTTTAAAAATTCCAGGAACTTTCAATAGATTCTCTGGTTTTCCCGAAATTCCAGTTGGAGGGTCCCTGGAATTGGGAGGGAATAAGCATGGAATCCGGAATACAACCAGGATTTCTGGAAAACCAAGGAATTTATTGAAAGTTCCAGGAATTTTGCAACCCTAGTCCTGATTAACAACAGTGTGGATGGCTGATCCAATCACTGAAGGCTTGCTTGTTCCTGATCTGTCACTGTTTCAATCATTGGATCACATAGGAAATGAAATCCCTTTATCAAGGTTGCTTTTTTAGCCTGTTGAAAAAGATGTACATTCATAGATTTGCATAATACAAATTTTCTTGGTGTTTAGAATTAATTATACACAATCTTAACAAGAATGAGACATTTATTTACATCCTAAAACATATGTGTGTGTGTTTGTACTGTATGTGTGTGAAACGTGAGAGATGAGCCAGAGTTGACCAGGTAGAGATGGGAGAGAGGGGCCTCCTCATCTCTGCCTGCTGGGGCTGTACAGTAGAAGAAGACTACAGTAGAGTCACAATGTTTACAACCAGATCCTGGTCTACCAAACAGAGTCACGTGTTTAAAAGCAGGCCCTGGCCGACACAGGTGGTGCAGTGCCTCAATGTTGGGCAGGGCTGTGTTTTTGAGCAGGTGTGCTGTGTTTCAACAGGGCTACCAGTGGTTGAAGGACAAGATCTTGAGCGAGGAGGGCCGGCGTCAGCAGGCGAAGTTGAAAGAGCTGCAGGCAATCGCGGAGCGGCTGGGCTGCACTCTGCCCCAGCTCGCCATCGGTACGCCGACACCCACTGCCGCTCTCTCTCTTTCTGTCCGTCTGTCCGTTCCTCGTCCCTCTGCCTCTCGCTTGCCTCACGACCGGAGGGTCACTGCCAGTCAGGCAGTTAACCAGATGGTTATCAGCTGTTTTATTGTGTGTGTGATAGAGAATGTTTGTCTAAATTATGTTGTATGTCTGTTTGTGGTAAACTAGTTCTTAGACTAGACACTAGAGTAACCAGGATGCTTTTCCTAAATCCAAGCCAGCTTTATCAAGCCAGTGGTAATAACTTCAGCTATTGATTCTGTTTGTTAGTTTACTGTCGTGTGCACTGGTGTGTCTATATACGACAAGGAAGTTTCTCTTTTCCCCACGTCAGCAGTTACATGGAATCCCAGACATAAATCCAGTGAGTGGCCCATATTGATTCCCAGCCGAACGGGGAGAGGGGGTATGAGCCTGTTGACAGAGTCCCATTAAAGCGTTGCAGACGATAGAGAGACTGTAAATCTAGGCCTACACAACACCTCACTCTGCATATCAAGGCGCATTTTACACCCAACCAGTAATGCAGTGTCATAGGTTAGGTTTCACGGCCCATTAGCAGACAGCTAGTACACTGTAGCTCCCAATCACTATAAATCCCTGTGGCACTGCCACAAACAGCCTGTACAGAGTTATGTCCTGGGACCACCATTTTATGTCACCCGGGAGCAGTGGTGTAAAGTAATTAAGTGAAAATACATTTAAGTACAACATAAGTTGTTTTTTAGGGGTATCTGTATTTTACTATTCATATTTTTGACAGCTTTTACTTTTACTTCACCACATTCCTAAAGAAAATCAAGTACATTTCACTCCAATGCGTTTTCCCTGAAACCCAAAAGTACATTTCAAGTGCTTAGCAGGACAGGACAATGGTCCAATATTATCAAGAGAACGCACGGTCATTTCTACTGCCTCTGATCTGGTGGACTCACTAAACACAAATGCTTCATTTGTAAATGATCCCAGCTATCTGTACATATAAAAAATTAATTAAAAAATGGTGCTGTCTGGTTTACTAAATATAAAGAATTTATAATGATTTATAGCATTTACTTTTGCTTTTGATACTTAAGTATATTTAAAACCTTTTACTTTTACTCAAGTAGCCTAGTATTTTACTGGGTGATTTTCACTTTAAGTTGAGTCATTTATTATTAAGGTATCTTTGCTTTTACTCAAGTATGACAATTGGATACTTTTTTCCACCACTGCCCGGGAGTCTCTACATTGGAAAAAAGTAAAGATTAAATACACATTAGGCCTCTTAGCTTGACCCGTTAGATACCCAAAGCCTGCTATTTTACACAGTTGATAGCCTAGTTACAGCTGTTATACGTTATAGTAGCAGTGTGACTTCATAGTGGATGTTGGCCAATGAGTGAATACCTCTGTCATCTGTTAGACAGTTCCATGTAGACTACTACAGCCATCCCATGTGGTCATCTGTTAGACAGTTCCATGTAGACTACTACAGCCATCCCATGTGGTCATCTGTTAGACAGTTCCATGTAGACTACTACAGCCATCCCATGTGGTCATCTGTTAGACAGTTCCATGTAGACTACTACAGCCATCCCATGTGGTCATCTGTTAGACAGTTCCATGTAGACTACTACAGCCATCCCATCCTGACCTGAGGAAACCTTGGTTGCCATATTAAATCCTGGGAAAGCCTGAGTGTTGTTGGGTCAGACCTGTTTCTGGAAGTGGACTCTGTCTCATCATCACCACTGTGGCTTGAGGTTCTAATCCCACTCTGACAGTGTTTGAACCTTACCACAGAGGTTTGAACACACTGGCACAAAGTCTCAATGCAGTAGTACACTAATCCTCTTATACAGTATCAAATATCCCACAACTAGATTAGCAAACACAGTGGGGTTGTGTTTTGGGTGTGTAGGGTTAGGATAGGGTATGTTTGTGTGAGTGTACTGTATGTGGGGTGCATGTGTCTAGTAGTTCCATTATTTGAAGAGACATTAGGTGGTTGTGATGTGTATGAGGCAGTGTTATACAGTACATGTTTTTGGTATGTTTGAGGCAGTGTTGTATGTTTTGTAGGGTGGGGAGGGTCAGGGTTATGTGGGAGAGGAAGAGTTGTGTGTTGTATATGGGGGTAGCAGGGTTGTGTGTTTGCCATGGTGGGGGTGTCATTGATGTTTACCCGTCCCCTACAGCGTGGTGCCTACGGAATGAGGGGGTGAGCTCCGTCCTCTTGGGAGCGTCCAACACCGACCAGCTGATGGAGAATATAGCAGCAATACAGGTGAGACCACACAGTGAGGGTCCAGGTGGGTGGGGTGGTTGTCGGTGTGTGTCTGCGCATGAGAAAGTGTGTAGATTTGCATAATTTGTCAATGAGTATTGATATTGAATCAACATTTTGAATTGGTTCAAAATGCCATCTCTCCCTGTCCATAACCATCTATAATAGAATTGTTGTTGTTTTTGTCTCTCCTGGAAAGAGCGCTGCCTCTCGGCCAGTCAGTTTGTTGTAATATGCTTGGATGCTTTACTGTACAAGTTAATAAGGTCAGCAGAGTATCAGTCAACAGGGACATTTGAGGCTAGCTTGCGGCGCTGCTACTCTGCTAGATAAGATGCTCTCATTTAATGGGATTTTCAAACCATCAGGGTTTTATGTTCTTTCATCACATTATGTCTGGCTTGAGATAAATTGTTTTCCCATTTCCCAGTATCTGCACTGTGTGTGTGTGTGTGTGTGTGTGTGTGTGTGTGTGTGTGTGTGTGTGTGCGTTTGGTTTTACTATCCTTGTGGGGACCAGAGGTCCTCACAAGGATAGTAAAACAAGGACATTTCAAGTAGGGACATTTTGCCAGTTCCCTCAAGGAAAAGGGCTATTTTAGGCTTAGGGGTTAAGTTTATGGTTAGGGTTACAATTAGGGTTTGGGTTAGGTTTTAGGTTAGGGGTTTGGAGTTAAGGTTAGGGTTAAGTTAAAGGTTTAGGGTTAGCGGTTAGGGAAAATAGGATTTTGAATGGGAATCAATTGTTTGGTCCCCACATGGATAGGAAAACAAATGTGGGCGTGGGCACTCAGTGCATTTGATATTTTGTTTCCACATGTTATGCCCACATTACCAGGGCAGCATACTATAGTCCTGGTCAAAAGTTTTGAGAATGAAACAAATATTAATTTTCACAAAGTCTGCTGCCTCAGTTTTTATGATGGCAATTTGCATATACTCCAGAATGTCATGAAGAGTAATCAGGTGAATTGCAATTAATTGCAAAGTCCCTCTTTGCTATGAAAATGAACTTAATCCCCAAAAAACATTTCCACTGCATTTCAGCCCTGCCACAAAAGGACCAGCTGACATCATGTCAGTGATTCTCTCGTTAACACAGGTGAGAGTGTTGACAACATTTTGGGTCCATGGCCAGACCTTAATCCCATTGAGAACGTGGTCAATCCTCAAGAGGCGGGTGGACAAACAAAAACCCACAAATTATGACAAACTCCAAGAATTGATTATGCAAGAATGGGCTGCCATCAGTCAGGATGTGGCCCATAAGTTAATTGACAGCATGGCAGGGCGGATTACAGAGGTCTTGAAAAAGAAGGGTCAATACTGCAAATATTGACTCTTTGCATAAACTTAATGTAATTGTCAATAAAAGCCTTTGACACTTATGGAATGCTTGTAATTATACTTCAGTATACCATAGTAACATCTGACAAAAATATCTCATAACACTGAAGCAGCGAACTTTGTGAAGACCAATACTTGTGTCATTCTCAAAACTTTTGACCACGACTGTATACTGTATACATATAGTACAAAGTACGTGCAATCTATACAAGTGAAGCAATACATCTTGCCTTCTGTTTCCTTCAATGCATCTGTAATTTCTCCTGCAGGTTCTTCCCAAACTATCCTCCTCCATCACACACGAGGTAGATAGCATCCTGGGGAACAAGCCGTACAGTAAAAAGGACTACCGCTCATAACGCACCACCACGCCAGCCAGGGCTGCTCCAGGGCTGCAGCGCAGCGCCAAGCCCCACCTTTGCCTGATCCTCTGTTTGCTTGAGCTTTTACTGAATGAGACCCCGGCGCATGAGTCTGACCCCACCTCAGCCACCCTGGGGAGCATCATTTAGACTTACAGGGAGAAGAAAAGGAGGAAAACATAGAGAGAGATGGTCACATCTGCAGGGAAGGAAAGATAGATAGAAGGACAGAACAAGAGATTAAATGGATATGTGCTCATAGATAAATCAGTTGTGCATACAATTCAGCTGAAAATGTATTTAAAAAACGGAAGAAAAAATACTTACAAAAAAAAACGCTTGCTTGGAAGCCAGATATCTATTTATTTTTTGCATTTTTTTCTCTAAATACTGAATGAATACCAATGGAATTTTAAGTTTATACAAATATACAACAAAAACTCTGTTGCACATGTATAGCCACACATTTATTATTTTTTTTGTTCTGTTTACATGTCCATCACAGTTTCTCTGAAACAGCTGTTTGTTTGTGTTGTCTACACATTATCAGTGTACTAGCCTCCTCGCAGGCAGAACAATCAGCACTTTAGTATTGTACAGTTCAGTCATTGAGAGGTTGTAGAAGACGTGAGAGGATGAAATAACTCAACCATATCACACACGGTGAGTCATTGCACTGTAGAATCTCCTCCCCTGTTTCAGTTTCCTACCTGTTCCCCTCAGTCAGTCTGGTCTCCACAGTGCTGGTTTTGCCAGGCTTGGTCCTGGTGCTCTGACTGACCCATGGTCCCACTAACTGCTAAAGCCAGGTAGAAGGTACTGAGAGGAGCAGGGTGTAGGACTGCCCCCTAGTGGAAGGGTTTTGCTCTGCTCTGAGCCTCCTCTCATGCTTCAGGCCTGTCCATCAAGCATCTGTTGATAAGATCCTTTGGCAGGCTAGTGTTTGATTGCCATACAAAGGGTTTATTACAGGCCATGTAAAATGATGGTTGTATCTGTATACCTTTATGTGGCAGTGTTACTTTCTGAAACAATACAGTAACTGCATCAGACATAATGGTCTTAATTGTGCTCCTTGATCAGTTTTGCACACCTATTTATTGAAGTGTCATTTTAATTCAAATTCTCATGAAAATGGCACATTACCTAAATTGTGCTCATTGTGTGCGTGAGTGTTGCCTTATTTAGGAACTGTGCTGGGCTGAGACAGCAGCCCCATAGCTGCCATTGGATACAGCCTATCAGGGCACAGACTGTTATTTGACAATAGTCCCTGGCCTATGGAAACACTAGTTGGTTTTGGTGGCAGCCCTTCCTGCCCAATAGGAGTGAAAGCTCAGGGATCGGAACAGAGACACTGTATTTAATGTAAATGTCTTTCTTTCATGTGTGGACACTCGATGGAGACCTGTCCACTGTCCAACCAGGGACATTTTCACGTGGCTTGAGCCAAAGATATTCAAACATCTTTCAACGACACATCTAAGTGTGTGTGGCTTGTTGGAAGAGTATAGCGACTGTCTTAAAGCGTATACTATCCAGCTTATTACCTATTGACTCTCTTCACATGTACAGTATAATCACTTGACCATGCTGTTCTATGCTTATACCCACATATACAGTATAAATGCAATGTACACTCCTCTACTTAGGGAATGATACGTTGATTTTCAGACGGCAGATGATAATCTATACATTTTCAATAATCGTATACATTGCACACTGAAGACATCTGACGCTGCCCTCGTTAAGTATTCACTCTCTAGCTGTTGGGTCCCCTCTTACTGTGAGACAAAGCACAAAGTAGATAGCATGTGATACATCCTCCATGCATGAGCCTTCGTCCAACAGCCTATGGGGATTATTCTGACAGGCAAAGTCATGCTTACAAGTGTAAACTAACAAGTGTAAATTAAAAGAATACTCACTCCTTTTTCATTACTCATTCTTAGATTCAATGAGTTTCAGTTTTCTAGTACTGTAGGTCAAGGTAACGCGTTCAATAAAAACTGCCATATCTCTTTTACAATCAGGGCCAAGTCTTAATGCTATGTATGTTTTTGTAGGTATTTGTTAGTTATTTAATGCAATACTAACAAGTAATTGGGGAGGTATATGCACGTTTTTGGGGAGGTATATGCAAACCTGCATAATATGCGGTTCTTTAGTGATAATCCATTAATGTAACATATCTGATAAAGTACTTATTGCATTAAAGCACTAACAAATACCTACAAATACATATATAGCATAAAAATTTGGCCCATATTATAAAAAAGATATGCCTATCTTTATAGTGGGAGTGCGACTCCATTACCCTCCGCAAGGCCTTGCCCTTGTGTCATGGGATTGAAGTGATGTCAATCACGGAGGGGCAGTTCTTCGCCTGTCAAATTGAAAGGTGACAAGAGAGTGAGGAGACATCACAAGGAGGTCCAGAGAGGTACACCGCTGCTGGGCTTAGCTATGTTCCCTGCAAGCTTGATCCTTCTGTTGAAGACAAAATACTGGAGAAATCAGTTAATCAAAAATAAGATTTTATTACCCGGCTTAAAGCACGACATGAGCAGATTCAAGCAAAAAAGTTGATGTATTATATTTATGCAATAAGGCCCGAGGGGTTGTGGTATATGGCCAACATACCACGGCTAAGGGCTGTTCTTAAGCACGACACAACGCAGAGTGCCTGGATACAGACCTTAGCCGTGGCATATTGGCCATATACCACAAACCCCTGAGGTGCCTTATTGCTATTATAAACTGGTTACCAATGTAATTAGAGCAGTAAAATAAATGTTTTGTCACACCCGTAGTATACGGTCTGATATACCATGGCTGTCAGCCAATCAGCATTCAGGGCTCGAGCCAGTTTATAAAACTCTATAACAGTAGTAAAAAATCTATATTACAGTAACCCCGCTACCCCCAACACTGAACATAAAAGAATGTACTCTTTAGATACAGTATCATTTGCGTGTGTGTCTGCCCACCAGTCTTCGCTGGGCTTCCGTGAAGATAGAGATATCTAATTTGAGTGCCAGCCATAGGGGTGCCGTACTATTATGGCTGACCCTGTAAAACAACACATTACAACACGGCACCTATCCGGGGTTTGTGAAAATAAAACATATATTTTTATGTCTGGTCCAGGACACAAACAGGATGTTTTCAATGGGCTCCTGGCTGACATCATCCTGTTCTGCAGAAACTTAAAACTGCGCACATTCTTATGTTGAGAACATTTGTAACTCAGTTACCAGTAACGGAGGTACAAGAAAAGAAAAGGTCACCAAGATGCTCCGTGTCCAATAAATTACAAAATCTTTTTGCATATTAAACTAAGTCCAAATATCCTTTATTTTAGTTATTTAAACATTTATATTAAATCCATGAAATCATTTTACACATTTAACCTTTTAAAGTAATGTCCAATCGTTAACTAAAAAGGATAATAATGTTTCTAATGTACATACTGGAGATGTCATTTGCTGTAGAAAAAAGGGGAACACTTGCAACAGTCATGCTTGATTTTGTACAAAGTAACACTATGTTTAAACCATCACAACTTTTTATAGGATCCAGTTACAAGCATAATGAAGTGTACTCTAGAAACTACACAAAGCCCTTTCTCATTGTATATACAGCATCAAGTAACTTTTATTTTTGTATGTAGATGCTAACCATGGTGTGACCTGGCCCTGTAGTGTCAGTGAGTAGGACAAAATGGAATGACGAGGGAAGTGTAGATGCTTTTCAGGCAAAGTGAAGAGGAGATTTGAGAATCAAAATGATTGAGGTGTGTATGCATGGCTAGCCCCTCTGGTCAGACAACAAATACTTGGCATAGATACAGATTCAAAGTGTGTGTGTGTGTTTGTGGAGGGGAAACAAATATTTTTAGCGTCTGTGTTAAACATAAACTGTGTACATTTGATTTGCTGTGTCTGGTACTGTATGTCTTGAGTGAATTAGTGGCAAAAGCCAATGTGGTTTTCTCAGAAAACAAAACAAAAAATTCATAATTGATCATGATTTTCTGTCTTACTGTCTTTCAGCAGGGTAATGAGCGAAATAACCGAATATCGTGCAGCAGAAATGTTTCATAAAATAAAAAGGCTCAAAGGCACTGTCACAATGAGTTATCCCTAGACATATTTGGTGGTCAATTCAATGTGACGCGTACATGCACAGAGCTGTGCACTGATTTGTCAGGTGATAATTGTGATGGTGTTGAGCGTAGCTCTAGCTCGCCCCCAGGGCTGTGCTGAGAGAGAGAGGCTGCTCTGTAGAGCTTGATGAGCACCACAGAGCTCCTCTATTTACTGGACCACTCTCTGGCAACACAACATGGCAACACAACAGCATTGCTGTGAAATGCACTCGTGGAAGAGTGTGCGCCTTACTGACATAGTGGATAATGCTAGGCAAGCAGTGTGGATGGTTTTTAAGAATTTGAGGTGTTTGAGTCAGGCTGTTTAGTGAGTAGACTCATCGTTGCAGGGTTTCTTGTCTCCCTGTCCAGTGTTGCGCTCTGACAGCCTCCCTTCACACAGCCACTGTACCATACATGTCATAGTATTGATGTTACTATCAGCTCAGAAACCTATGAAATCAGCCCTGTAGATGAATGATGCTCATCTCACAGAAGGCCGTATGTTAAAGTTTATTTTTTGCATGTTCTGGCCTTTAACATAGAAGAAGTACAAGAGGGAGAATAAAAGCTGGGTGTTTATTTAAATTTTCACCATGCTGCATTTTCCTCTTAATATTGTATCTGTGTAAAGATTGACAAAAGGAAGCAATTTATTTGTATTGTGTATGCATTGTGCAGAATGCTCTCAAATGAACTCAATGGCAGACTACATTCGCTCAGTGATGATGCCCTAGCTAGAGTGGTATCTCCTGTATGTACATAGTTTGACCGTTGTATATATTTATGGTTGTGGTCACCTCTGCCATTTCTTCTTTATTTTCATCTGCTTACTGCACTGTGCTTCAATCTGAAGTTAGACAATATGTACAGCTTCAGTCTTTAATGAAATGACAATGAAAAAATAAGAATGTAAAAAACAGTTCCCTGTGTTTGACTTTTTCATTCATTGATTGTTTTTGTTATCTTATGGGTTATTAACTAGGTGTCCAGATTAGAAAATCCTCTTCACTCCAGTCATAGACAGTATACACTTACAAACTGCGTTATCTTGAACTGTACACAATATACTGTATAAAATATAAACATATGTAAGAGCACTTTATACACAAAAACAAAAAAGGTACTGTTTACCATGACTGGGCTGAGCCCACTGTCTGCTCAAGTTCTATTGTGTCTCCTGTATCATTGTGCAATCCAATGGGCTGAACTGGATATGAATCAGAATCGCCCACTCAAACATACTATAGTAAACAAAAATGTACTGACCAATATGTAGATAATATACTGTCTTCTGGTCAACATATAGTGGATTAAAGCGTCATAGCACCAACATTTGTATAACAAGTAACTTCATATAAAGTACAGAATATCAAACATAACTTTGTCATTCACTGCAAATAGACATCACAATATTATACTGGATTGGAAATATTGAAACCGCTTTTTCAGGTGCTCAAATCACTTTACATTGTATGATAGGAATCACCTCACACTACTATTCAAAAACCACAGATACCTGGGTCATGTTGGCTCTGGGTCACCTATTGGTTCTGATGGCTTATTCATAAGGACAGATGAAAATAATGAATCATCATACGGTATATGATGTAGAAGTGATGGGATTTGTATAATAATGCCACATGTATACTGTATAAACATGATTGTTAGTGTTGGACGTTCAGCAACGGTCGCCACACATCTCCTATATCCGTGGGTTGTTTGTCCAGGATGGGAGTGTGCAGAGGAGGCTGTGGTGGGGGAGATCTAGGGCGCTATACAATCCGTATCGCGGAAATTCATCGTTACAACATGATTTAAATTTGAAGGCAATGTTCCTGCATTAGCAGAGACTGCATTCACGGTAAACGCTGCAGATGTCGGCTCAATAGGTAATTACCTTTAAATGTAACGCTTCAGCCATACAGATTGAATAGAGCCCCTAGTCCTGGTACCCCCTGACCGCACTCTAACTACCAGAAAGGGGGTCACAACATACCGTACCTCATCACTGATGAGTCAGGCCATGCCTGAGTGGGAGCTGCACATTTATACAGTACACACATGAACACAAACAATGAAAGCCCTGCACAGTTCAAAGTATACACACACAACAAAGCATTATCCACCCTAGAGCAAACACTGAGAACATTTCTCCTTAGAGTCTATTTCTCAGTGTCTGTCATCCAGCTCCTGTGGGTGCAGCAGTATCCTGTCCCGTTGGGGTGTGTATTTCTGAAATAATAATATCCACCCTTTTAATCCACTTCAGTTCGGCTTCAGTGAAGCTTGTGCTGCTGCCTCAGCCTCTTACAGTCGGAGGCTCATTGGTGATTAGAGCCTCCAACCAAAAGGGGACGCTATAACGCGTTGTCTAGATGTGAGTTATCCTCCCTCCTGCTTCTGTAGGGGAGACGTGGAGGCCCACCTGAGGACACACCCAGACACAGAGTGAGAGGAGCTGTCAGTTGACTCTGTATCTCAGCACACAGGACACACGTATCAAATCACATTGTATTTGTCACATACACGTGTTTAGCAGATGTTATAGCGGGTGTAGCGAAATGCTTGTGCTTCTAGATCCGACAGTGCAGTAATATCTAACAAGTAATATCTAACAATTTCACAACATATACCCAATACACACAAAACTTGTAAGGAATGGGATTTAAGAATATATACATATATGGACAAGCAATGACAGAGCGGCATGGACTAAGATACAGTAGAATATTATTGAATAGAATGCAGTATATACATATGAGATGAGTAGTGCAAGATATGTAAACATTATTAAAGTGACTAGTGTTCCATTTCTTAAAGTGCAGCAGCCTCTAATGTGCTAGTGATGGCTATTTAACAGTCTGATGGCCTTGAGATAGAAGCTGTTTTTCATTCTCTCGGTCCCAGCTTTGATGCACCTGTACTGACCTCGCCTTCTGGATGATAGCGGGGTGAACAGGCAGTGGCTCGGGTGGTTGATGTCCTTGATGATCTTTTTGGCCTTCCTGTGACATTGGGTGCTGTATGTGTCTTGAAAGGTGGGTAGTTTGCCCCCGGTAATGCGTTCGGCAGACCGCACCACCCTCTGGTGAGCCCTGCGGTTGTGGGCGGTGCAGTTGCCGTACCAGGCGGTGATACAGCCCGACAGGATGCTCTCAATTGTGCATCTGCAAAAGTTTGTGAGGGTTTTAGGTGCTAGGCCGAATTTCTTCAGCCTCCTGAGGTTGAAGAGGCTCTGTTACGCCTTCTTCACCACACTGTCTGCGTGGGTGGACCATTTCAGTTTGTCGGTGATGTGTACGCCAAGGAACTTGAAGCTTTCCACCTTCTCCACTGCGGTCCCGTAGATGTGGATAGGGGGGTGCACCCTCTGCTGTTTCCTGAAGTCCATGATCATCTCTTTTGTTTTGTTGATGTTGAGTGAGAGGTTATTTTTCTGGCACCACACTCCCAGAGCCCTCACCTCCTCCATGTAGGCGGTCTCGTCATTGTTGGTAATCAAGCCTACTACTGTTGTGTCATCTGCAAACTTGATGATTGAGTTGGAGGCATGCTTGGCCACGCAGTCATGGGTGAACAGGGAGTACAGGAGGGGGCTGAGCACACACCCTTGTGGGGCCTCAGTGTTGAGGATCAGCGAAGTGGAGATGTTGTTTCCTACCTTCACCACCTGGGGGCAGCCTGTCAGGAAGTTTATGACCCAGTTGCACAGGGCGGGGTTCAGACCCAGGGCCTTGAGCTTAATGATGAGCTTGTAGGGTACTATGGTGTTGAATGCTGAGCTATAGTCAATGAACAGCATTCTTACATAGGTATTCCTCTTGTCCAGATGGGATAGGGCAGTGTGATGGCGATTGAATCGTCTGTGGATCTATTGGTGCGGTAAGCAAATTTAAGTGGGTCTAGAGTGAGAGGTAAGGTAGAGGTGATATGATCCTTGACTAGTCTCTCAAAGCACTTAATGATGACAGAGGTGAGTGCTACAGGGCGATAGTCATTTAGTTCAGTTACCTTTGCTTTCTTGGGTACAGGAACAATGGTGGCCATCTTGAAGCATGTGGGAACAGCATACTGGGAAAGAGAGAGATTGGATATGTCCATAAACACACCAGCCAGCTGGTCTGCGCATGCTCTGAGGACGCGGCTAGGGATGCCATCTGGGCCGGCAGCCTTGCGGGGGTTAACATTCTTAAATGTCTTAATCACGTCGGCCATGGAGAAGGAGCGGCCACAGTCCTTGTCTGAGCCGTTGAATTGTGACTCCACTTTGCCTCTATACTGATGTTTTGCCAGTTTAATTGCCTTGCGGAGTGAGTAGCTACACTGTTTGTATTCTGCCATATTCCCAGTCACCTTGCCATGGTTGAATGCGGTGGTTCGCGCTTTCAGATTTGCGCGAATGCTGCCATCTATCCACGGTTTCTGGTTAGGGTAGGTTTTAATAGTCACAGTGGGCACAACATCACCTATACACTTCCTGATAAACTCAGTCACCGTTTCAGTGTAAACGTCTAAATTATTTTCGGAAGCTACCCGGAACATATCCCAGTCCGCGTGATCAAAACAATCTTGAAGCGTGGATTCCGATTGGTCAGACCAGCGTTGAATAGTCCTTAGCACAGGTACTTCCTGTTTGAGATTCTGCCTATAGGAAGGGAGAAGCAAAATGGAGTCGTGGTCAGATTTGCTGAAAGGAGGGTGGGGGAGGGCCTTATAACCACCCCGAAGTTCGAATAGCAATGGTCGAGGATTTTAGCAGCGCGAGTAAAAATAATAATAAATAATATGCCATTTAGCAGACGCTTTTATCCAAAGCGACTTACAGTCATGCGTGCATACATTTTTATTTTTTTTTGTGTATGGGTGGTCCCGGGGATCGAACCCACTACCTTGGCGTTACAAGCGCCGTGCTCTACCAGCTGAGCTACAGAGGATATGTTGATAGAACTTCGGCAGCCTAGTCCTCAAATGAGCTTTGTTAAAATCCCCGGCTACAATAAATGCAGCCTCAGGATATGTGGTTTCCAGTTTGCATAAGGTCCAGTGAAGTTCTTTGAGGGCCGTCGTGGTATCGGCTTGAGGGGGGATATACACGGCCGTGACTATAACCGAAGAAAATTATCTTGGGAGATAATACAGTCGGCATTTGATTGTGAGATATTCTAGGTCGGGTGAACAGAAGGACTCGAGTTCCTGTATGTTACTACAATTACACCATGAGTCGATAATCATGAAACACACACCTCCGCCCTTCTGCTTCCCAGAGAGATATTTATTCCTGTCTGCGCGATGAACTGAGAACCCATCTGGCTGGACCGATTTCAACAGAATATCCCAAGAGAGCCATGTTTCCGTGAAACAGAGTATGTTACAGGCCTTCATGTCTCTCTGGAAAGAAATCCTTGCCCGTAGTTCGCCGATCTTGTTAACCAAAGACTGAACATTAGCGAGTAGAATACTTGGAAGCGGTGGGTGGTGTGCGCGCCTCCTAAGTAGAACCAGCAGGCCGCTCTGAGTGCCTCTCCTCCGCCGGCGATCAGTTCAGTTGCCCTGGGTGGAGCAAACAAAGGATCTGCTTCGGGAAAGTCGTATTCCTGGTCGTAATGCTGGTGAGTTACCGCCGCTCTGATATCCAATAGTTTTTCCCGGCTGTATGTAATGATGCAAAACACTTTCTGAGCTAATAATGTAAAAAATAATACATAAAAAAACAAAATACTGCAAAGTTTCCTAAGAGCTAGTCGCGAGGCCGCCATCTTCGTCGGCGCCAGGATTATAGACAAACAACAACACAACCAGAACCACCAACGGAGGAAATGTGTAACCTCCATCTGTTCAACCTCCCTACAGACAAAACCAAGTTTCAGCACTAAAACAAGTAGTTTATTTTCTAACTCGGCAGAAACATGTCAGTTCCAGTCAACTTTCCTCTCCAGTCCAGCTTCATTATACCCAGCCCTGTCACCAGCTACACTATGCATGCTGTGGTGAGTGTTAGTAAGTCATCACTACCTTCCTGACAGGTGAATCCGATCCAGCTGTTGAGACATGTGCAGCGGCCGTTCCGATGGTCACAGTGAGCCGCGTTGTCACACACACAGCGCTCTGTGCAGTCTGGCCCATAGCGGTTTGCTTTACAGTCTGACAACACACACACACACACACACAGGTAAGACGATACCTCATTAGACACCAGAAAATAATTAGAAAAAGGCTCTTAAACAGATCGGCACCTAAGGTACTATCACATAGAAAGTTCTGAAGGCCCCTCAGTCTTACCGATGTCACACCTGGGTCCAGTCTTGCCTGAGGTGCACAGACACCTGCCACTCACAGGGTCACAGGGCGTGCCCTCCTCACAGTCACATGACTTGGCACAGTTCACACCAAACGTGCCCTGTTGACACTCTGAAAAAAGACGTGTGTAAGTGCAACACCATATTTAGAATGAATTAATCCGGTCTGAAGGCCAACATTTCTAACTGCATACAAGTGATCATCAACTACAAGACACCATCAACTCAGTTACTGTACATAAGGCAGAGATTTCACCTCTGTGACAGCGGGAGCCATGGTACCCTGGAGGACAGACACAGAAGCCAGTGGAGGGGTTGCAGGACGCCCTGTTCAGACAGTCACACTGAAGCTGGCACAGAGGGCCATGGAGACCAGGGGGGCACGCTGAGGATGGGGGTAGGACACTTTAGATACAGTATGCAATGCCAGTGTCTTTCAATGCTGTACTGACGTGTGTGTGTGCATGTGTGAGTCACTCACCATGTTCACACTGATGTCCGTAGTATCCTAAACCACACTGGCAGGTTCCAGTCACCCTGTCACAGGTGCCATTGTTCTGGCAGTCACACTTCAGCTGGCAGTTACCTCCAAATGTCCCCGGAGGGCATTCTATCACACAAGCAGACAGACAGACACAGAGAGGCAGCATAACTATCTACAGTATATCATCTCCTGGATGAAAACCAGCACTGGGAGTTGAGTAATTACATTCATAGCTATTTCCTATGATTTTGTAAAGGCGTACTGCACAGTATCTCTCACCTGTGTCACAGTGATCCCCAGTCCAGCCCAGACCACAGGTACAGCTTCCAGAGACAGAGTCACATAGTCCTCCGTTACTGCAGTTACAGCGCATAGCACAGTCCCCTCCAAACCATCCAGGAGCACAGCCTGCCAATACACAGATATTACACATTACAAACACACCAGTGGAGGCTGCTGAGGGGAGAACGGCTCATAATAATGTCTGGAACAGAGCAAATGGAATGGCATCAAACCATGTGTTTGATGTATTTGATACCATTCCAACCATTCCACTCCAGCCATTACCACAAGCCCATCCTCCTGTGAAACACACACATATTACAAACATAGTTCAAACACACACATACACTACCGGTCAAAGGTTTTAGAACACCTACTCATTCAAGGGTTTTTCTGTATTGTACCGTTTTCTATATTGTAGAAAAATAGTGAAGACATCAAAACTATGAAATAACACATATGGAATCATGTAGTAACCCAAAAAGTGTTAAACAAATAAACATATATTTTATATTTGAGATACTTCAAATAGCCACCCTTTGCCTTGATGACAGCAATGCACACTCTTGGCATTCTCTCAACCAGCTTCACCTGGAATGCTTTTCCAACAGTATTGAAGGAGTTCCCACATATGCTGAGCACCTGTTGGCTGCTTTTCCTTCACTCTGTGGTCCGACTCATCCCAAACCATCTCAATCTGGTTGAGGTTGGGGGATTGTGGAGGCCAGGTCATCTGATGCAGCACTCCATCACTCACCTTCTTGGTAAAATAGCCCTTACACAGCCTGGAGTTGTGTTGGGTCATTGTCCTGTTGAAAAACAAATGATAGTCCCACTAAGCCCAAACCAGATGGGATGGCGTATCGCTGCAGAAGGTAGCCATGCTTGTTAAGTGTGCCTTGAATTCTAAATAAATCACAGACCGTGTCACCAGCAAAGCACCCCCACACCATAACACCTCCTCCTCCATGCTTTACGGTGGCAAATACACAAGCGGTAATCATCCGTTCAGACACACCGCGTCTCACAAAGACACGGTGGATGGAACCAAAAATCTCAAATTTGGACTCCAGACCAAAGGACAAATTTCCATCGGTCTAATGTCCATTGCTTGTGTTTCTTGGCTCAAGCAAGTCTCTTCTTATTATTGGTGTCCTTTAGTAGTGGTTTCTTTGTAGCAATTCGACCACGAAGGCCTGATTCACACAGTCTCCTCTGAACAGTTGATGTTGAGATGTGTCTGTTACTTGAACTCTGTGAAGCATTTATTTGGGCTGCAATTTCTGAGGCTGGTAACTAATTAACATCCTCTGCAGCAGAGGTAACTCTGGGTCTTCCATTCCTGAGGCGGTCCTCATGAGAGCCAGTTTCATCATAGCGCTTGATGGTTTTTGTGACTGCACTTGAAGAAACTTTCAAAGTTCTTGAAATGTTCCATATTGACTGACCTTCATGTCTTAAAGTAATGATGGACTGTCATTTCTCTTTGCTTATTTGAGCTGTTCTTGCAATAATATGGACTTAGTCTTTTACCAAAGAGGGCTATCTTCTGTATACCACCCCTACCTTGGCACCCCTACCACCCCTACCTCACAACACAACTGATTGGCTCAAACGCATTAAGAAGGAAAGAAATTCCACAAATTAACTTTTAAGAAGGCATACCTGTTAATTGAAATGCATTCCAGGTGACTACCTCATGAAGCTGGTTGAGAGAATGCCAAGAGTGTGCAAAGCTGTCATCAAGGCAAAGGGTGGCTATTTGAATAATCTTAAATATAAAATATATTTTGATTTGTTTAACACTTTTTTGGTTACTACATGATTCCATATGTGTTATTTCATAGTTTTGATGTCTTCACTTTTATTGTACAATGTAGAAAATAGTAAAAATTAATTAAAAACCCTTGAATGAGTAGGTGTTCCAAAACTTTTGTCCAGTAGTGTATATTACAAACATACCTTTAACTTATAGACAGATAGAGATGCAAACAATCCTATTTGTGTTGTAAAAATACTTCCACACATAGTGATCTGTTTCTGTATTCATTAGAGAAAACCTACCTTGTCCACAGTCCTCCCCTCTTCGCCCAGGGCTGCAGTGACATCTACCAGTGACAGGATCATTCTGTGCCCCCTCTCCACACAGTGTCACGCGGGCACAGTCCTGCCCATAACGACCAGCTGGGCACGCTGTCAACAGGGTACAGGACATTAAGGACCATAGTTTTTGCATCTAATATTACTTCAGAAGTTATGATTGTTGTGGAGGTGTTACATGTTATTCAGTGCAATAAAAAGCTGAATATAAACTCACTGATGTTGCAGTGTGCTCCGATGAACCCTGCTGTGCATTCACAGGTGCCAGAGGTGGAGCTGCATTTCCCACTGTTCTGACACTGGCACTCTCGCTCACAGTTGGGACCATACCAACCTTTCTGACACTCTGGGAACCCAAAACACATACCAAACAGTTTTAAGACTAAACTAATCAATAGAGTAATGACATCCCCTATGGAAGGTTATGAAGGTGTCAGTACCAGCAGAGGGGACTAGTGTACAATACATACCCAATTTACATTGAGGACCTTGGAAGCCTGGGGCGCAGTAACACAACCCAGTCACTGGGTGGCAGAGCTGGTTGGTCTCAGAACACTGGCACACCTGGTTACAGTTGAGTCCATATGTCCCTGACAGACAGGCTGGTGGTGCAGACAGACAGACAGACAGACAGAGAGAGAGAGAGAGGTAAGCTTTATGAAAAGTGAGACATTACAGCTGAAAGTCCAGACTGACTGAGTTTTAAATTATAATTTTTTTATCCTTATTTTGCCAGGTAAGTTGACTGAAAACACATTCTCATTTTCCAGCAATAGTTACAGGGTGATAAATGAGCCAATTGGAAGCAGAAGAGATGGGCTGAGAGGGTAGTACAGTACTCACTCTGTTCACAGCCATTACCAGTGAGTCCAGGGGGACAGCCACACACCCCAGAGACATGGTGACAGGAAGTACCCTGGGGACAGGTGCAGCGTTGCACACAGCCCTTGCCATAGGTTCCAGGTAAACAGGCTGGTGATAAAAAATGAGGGGGAGTCAAAATTCTAAACAGGTATGGCTAAAAATCTTTCAGAGATAATATAAAAAGTTGCTATCATTAAAAGTAGGCTACCTTTATCACACTGGGGTCCCCTCCAACCTGGTGGACAGAGGCAGTGCCCAGTAACGTGGTGACAGGGGGCTTTATGCTCACACTGACAGCTCTCCTCACAGCCAGCCCCAAACAGGCCTGACACACAGGCTGCAGTGGAGGAAAAGGACGGAGGAAGAACTCAGAGACTGGATGTGACAACAACATTCACTCACAAGAGGGCGCTGTGTTGACTGTACAGTGAAAACCTGTGAATTAATTCACCTCACAACATTGATGATGACAAAGACAGTATATGTCCACTTCTCTGTCACTCTTTCTCACCTTTTTCACAGCGCTCTCCGACCCATCCAGGACCACAGTTGCACTGGCCCGTCTGTCTGTCACAGTGGCCCCCGTTCTCACACTGACACTGCTGCTGGCAGTCGGCCCCGAACCACCCTGCTACACACTCTGTAGCGCCAACACACCAACCCACAGAGACATGGCAGGAAAGAACACAGGACATCACATGTCAGAGCAGGCAAACCAACCACAGGCTAACATAGAAACCTATGTGTTTCTGCTGAGGACAGCAATACCTTCTCCAAACCCTGTGGTTTGACCTAGCAGAAAGTTGGCATTAGGTGGTAATTAACCACTGAGTGGTTAGGTAACACAGCACCGGCAGCAGCATTAGAGGTTTCCTGTGCCTAGAGTAGGGGGTGAGTTTGGCATGGAGGACCCGTTGAGAAGTTTATATGGGCGCTGTGGGAGGATAGTGTGTGATGTAGAGTACAGTGGGGTGGTGAACTGCAGCGTCTGTGTGGGGTCTAGAGTGAGACGGTTACACGGCAGACAGGAGACTGTGGGGTCTAGCAGACTATTTGCGGTCTGAGGGGCATGCAGCTCTGTCTCACACAGACTGCCAGGGAACAGCACCAGTCAAAAATAAATGAGTTAAACCAGGGCAAATTAGCACTGAGACTAATTTGTTTCCTGAATACAGTAAAATAAACCACAGGCCACTGTTCTAAATGGTTTCTAGCATTTCAGGTAATGTTATCCTTAAGCAGGCTGTCCAGAATCCTCCAGTCAGAGCCTTAATGGTTTTCCAGTGTCTGCATTTCTAGTAGAGCTGGTACTGAATGAGGATCATCCTGATTGGATCCTGATTACAGGATCAAAATGGCCAGAAACAAATAACTTTCTTCTGAAACTCGTCAGTCTATTCTTGTTCTGAGAAATGAAGGCTATTCCATGCGAGAAATTTCCAAGAAACTGAAAATCTCGTACAACGCTGTGTACTACTCCCTTCACAGAACAGCGCAAACTGGCTCTAACCAGAATATAAATAGGAGTGGGAGGCCCCGGTGCACAACTGAGGAAGAGGACAAATAGTTTGAGAAACAGGCGCCTCACAGGCGCCTCACAGGCGCCTCACAGGTCCTCAACTGGCAGCTTCATTAAATATTACCCGTAAAACACCAGTCTCAACGTCAACAGTGACGAGGCGACTCCGGGATGCTGACCTTCTAGGCAGAGTTGCAAAGAAAAAGGCATATCTCAGACTGGCCAATAAAAATAAAATATTAAGATGGGCAGTCTGAGATATGGCTCCAGCAGCCATTTACAACATTAACAATGTCTACACTATATTTCTGATCAATTTGATGTTATTTTAATGGACAAACATTTCAAAAACAATTTTAAACAAGGACATTTCTATGTGACCCCAAACTTTTGAAACGGTAGTGTAGGTCTGAATAAGGCATGAGTAAGTAGGGTTAGCTAGGTTCATGGTAACTCTAAGCGTCTCTATGGCTCTTTCAGTAACACTCACCTATGCCGCAGGCTGCGCCCATCCACCCGTTGGCACAGATACATTGCCCACTGATTCGGTCACATTTGGCTCCATTCTGGCACAGGCAGTGCTGACGGCAGTCCGCCCCATAGAAGCCCACTGGGCATTCTGGAGGGAAAAAATGGTAGACCCATTATCACTAAATCAAATCAAATCAAATCAAATTGTATTGGTCACATGCGCCGAATACAACAGGTGCAGACATTACAGTGAAATGCTTACTTACAGCCCTTAACCAACAGTGCATTTATTTTTAACAAAAAAAGTAAAAATAAAACAACAACAAAAAAAGTGTTGAGAGAAAAAAGAGCAGAAGTAAAATAAAGTGACAGTAGGGAGGCTATATATACAGGGGGGTACCGTTGCAGAGTCAATGTGCGGGGGCACCGGCTAGTTGAGGTAGTTGAGGTAATATGTACATGTGGGTAGAGTTAAAGTGACTATGCATAAATAATTAACAGAGTAGCAGCAGCGTAAAAAGGATGGGGTGGGGGGGCAGTGCAAATAGTCCGGGTAGCCATGATTAGCTGTTCAGGAGTCTTATGGCTTGGGGGTAGAAGCTGTTGAGAAGTCTTTTGGACCTACATTATGGTTTCTCTGTACAGAACTCATTCACTAACCTCTGCGTAAATTGGTTGGACTCAAGCAATATTATTGTGCATAGTTAGTTAGGAGTACTACTCTAGTTCCACACTCACCCTGTGAGCAGCTGGGCCCTGTCCAGCCAGGTGTACAGACACACTGCCCGCTCGCCGGGTGGCAGTTGCCATTGTTATGGCAACCGCAGGTTTGGTTACAGCACTCCCCATAGAAACCAGCTGGGCATGCTGCAAGGGAAAGATAAGAATCTGTTTACTTCCAAAGAATCAATCATCAATCACACCAATGCAAAACACAAATGTGTAATATGTCTCTGATTTGAAATGGTTTATATTGTACAGGGTGCGTACTGGATAGGCTCTTTGAAGGGTGGATGTCCAATACTCACTCAGTTTGCAGGTAGGACCGATCCAACCAGCAGGACACACACACATCCCAGTGACATGGTTGCAGTGACCTCCATTCAGACAGACACACTTCTCCTGGCAGTCCAACCCATAGAAGCCCTGGGGACAGGCTAAACAAACACACAGAGCATTTACTTCTCAGCAAACAATACAGCAATGATTCCTATAGGCTAATTGTACTGGATTATAGATACAGTTCAGGCTATGATACAGTTACATAGTTTGGGTTCTGGATACATTTTAGGGAGAGTTTGGGAGGTTCTCTTACGTTTTTCACAGAAGGTTCCAGTCCAGCCCACCAGGCAGGTGCATGCTCCACTGACATGGTCACATGACCCCTTGTTGTCACACTGGCAGTGATGCCGACAGCCCAGACCGAAAGACCCCACTGGACACTCTGAGACACAGAGAAGACGCAACTTAACACAACTACAGCAGGGCTTGACAGCTACATGCTCTGAGACAGTACTGCAACAGCACAATAGCAATTTAAGAATGCAGACCGAAAAGAAACAACTACGAACTGATATTTTGCTTGAGGACTCACACACACATACCTTCATGGCATTGTGTCCCAGTGTAGCCGGCCTCACAGTTACACTGGCCCGTCACTGCGTCACAGCTCCCATCCCCATTCTTACAGTCACATTTCTCAGCACAGTCCACCCCCCAGTGCCCGGAGTCACAGGCTGCCATGGAAACAAACAAACAGGAGACATTTTAATTAAATAGTTTAGATTCAGTGAGAGTAAGCTATTTTTTATTTATTTGTATTAATTTGAGACTCAATGCCACACCCACTCTACCTTTCCTGCAGTTATGTCCGGCCCAGCCAGGGGCACAGGTACAACGGCCCGTGACAGGGTGGCAGCGCCCGCTGTTTTCACACACACAGCGCAGCTGGCATCCAACACCAAACCGTCCTGTCGGACATGCTACAGCACACACAGACACATGGTAAAGCACTGTGAGTCAGAGAGTCACACACACTCTAAATACTGGAAACACAACTATTGCAATACTGTACAGCAAGTTCCCATGACACTGGTTGAAATGACATATAAGCATTTAACAAGAAAACCGTCGGTTATACAGGAATAATATTTATCCTTCTGTGTGAAAACACAGCTGATGAGAACAGGGTTTATGACATGTCTGTGCCTCACACAAAGGGGAATGTGGTGTGGTTGGTGTTTTAATGACCCACTACAAAGGCCTGCTCATCGTGCATTTAACATCTCTTTCTAAAATTAGACCAAAACTACCACAGGAATCTTTGATCACAGTTCTACCATTGATTCGCTCATACTCACAGTTCTGACAGAGCCTGCCCATGTACCCAGGAGGGCAGGAACAGGTCCCGTTGTGTTTGTCACACACTCCTCCATTCTCACAGGCTGGACAGGCCTCACGGCAGCCCGCGCCCCAGGAGCCCTCCGCACACACTGCAGCACACAGCAAGAGCAAGAGTATGTGTTAGCATCATCATCATTATCACAATGTTATGGATACTATAGTATCACCAGATTGTTTCCTTACAATTCTCACAGCGTTTTCCTGATGTTCCTGCAGGACACTGACACTGGCCACTCACTCTGTCACATAGGGCCCCTGAGCAGTCACAGGCCTGAGTGCAGCCTGTCCCAAACCTCCCCTTTGGACAGTCTAGAGGAGAGGACAGAGACAGTGGTAGTCTTCCTAAAAGAAGCCACATACAGTACTGTAATCTGACCACCATGACATGAAATTCCTATCCCATGGGACCGACAGGACAACCTACCTTGATCACAGTTGTCTCCACGGCGACCAGCCGGGCACAGGCGTTGGCACTGCCCAGTCACATGATCACAAGACAGTCCAAGCGGGCACTCACACTTGTTCTCACAGCCTGGGCCAAACGTGCCTGGGTCACACTCTGAGGTGGGAGGGGGGAGGAGACGTGATCAGGCATCACTCAGAGTTAAACACATAGAACACTAGAGCACTGCTGGAGATGCTGGAGATAACTTTTGGTCCCAGCAGCCAGCACTGACCTTCCCTGCACGCATTGCCTTGCCAACCGGGCTTGCAGACGCAGGTGCCGTGGCGACGGTGACACTCCAGAGTGTTCTGTTGGACACACTGACACTCCTCTGAACAGCCCGGTCCAAAGGCCCACTTGGGACATGCTGGAAAGGGAAGGAGGGAGATAACATGTAGAATATTGAATAAGAACTGAAAGAATAAGGTGAGTAATGTATATTAGAGGTGAAAGGTGAGATGTGAGGGGTCAACAGTGAGTGACTCACGTAGATGGCAGAACCTCCCGTAGAGTCCAGGGTCACACAGACAGGCTCCGTAGGTGCGGTGGCAGCGCCCGTTACTGGCACAGATACACTTCTTATTGCACTGTTTCCCATAGAAGCCCTTAGGACAGCCTACAGACAACAAGGCATTGTTATCAGGCAACTGAACGTTTCAATAGAGTGTGAATAACTGAGAGAGTGTTTTTGTACAGTATATGTTAACCAGTAGTTACTCACCTTCCTGGCACATGTCTCCACTGACGCCAGGTGGGCAGCGACAATTCCCATTAACAGGATCACAGGTGGCTCCGTTCATACACTTACAGGGAAACGAGCAGTTCTTACCAAAGGATCCTTCAGGACAAGCTGTTAGGATAGGATAGAATACAACTTTATATATTTATCCATAATACAGAGATGTGTTGTTCCACAGAAAAACACACAGACATAAGATTGATAATTTACTGTGTTGTGAGTGCAGTCTGTGTGTGTTTGCTGTGAGCAGATACTGACTCTGGTTGCAGATGAGGCCTGTCCATCCATCGCGACAGTGACATCCATCTCTCCCTGGGCCACAGAGCCCTCCGTTAGAACAGTCTTCACAGGTCAGACTGCAGTCATGGCCAAACGTGTTGTTCAGACACACTGCATACAAGACAAAGACATGATTGATTATCACATTTTAGAACAATATCTGTTTGTGGTTAGGGATTTGCCAATATTCAACTACATTCTTCCTAGCACAGCAACTCCAGTGAGATGGCCTTAAATACTACAATACTGATTACTGTTTTCAAATCAAAACATCAAGGAACAACACAAAACAGATCCCATTGCTCTCTGCCATAGCCCCCTGCCACAGTCTATAAGCTTCCCCATTACTACCCAGGTATGTTTAAAAAAAAACTGCTAACCAATTTGCCACCTGCTGTGGGGTATTTCATTGCCCAGTAACTAGTAATTAAATATGGAGGTCTGACAGTTTACCTCCTGTTGCTCAGACACAGAGCTAATCAGATACAGGACCATAGTGTGTATGTTTTTGTTCAGTGGTTCACCAAATTTCTCTGCTAGCGTGCTCTCAGCCAGCAGCTCTCCAGCGTCGTCATCCTCATAGTCGTCATAGCGCTCCAGGGGCTGGTTGTAGTCCTGCAGCAGGGTGAGCTGAGGCAGGGGCCCAACAGCATCCTGGCCCCCACTAGAAAGGGCCTCAACTGTATTCTCCAGCGCTGCAGAAAGAGAGAGAGAGAGAGAGAGAGAGAGAGAGAGAGAGAGAGAGAGAGAGAGCAATAGCCAAAGAGGGAGGAGATTGTATAAGGGTAAAAGGTCCAAGTGGGACATGATGATGGTGGTGTGGCCCTAAGCAACAACATCTAATTTGATTGGTGGAACTCACGTTCACAGGAGTGTCGGTCCTCGTCCATACGAAAGCCTCGGCGGCAGAAACACTGGAAGGAGCCGGCGGTGTTCTGGCATGTGTGATCACAGCCACCGTTAGCCGCCAGACACTCATCCACATCTACACAACACACACAGTCCAGTCACTTTACAAAAACACTGCTCCTCAGTCAGGTAAATTGATATAAATAGCCAAAATCACTGACATTTAGCACTGAATCAATGTTCTTATGTAATAAACAATGTACAGCAAACCAGAAAATACAAACATGATTCAAATATTACAGCATCATATATGCACATATTAGTTAAACTGGAAGCAATCCAGGTTCAACAGTTATTGTATAATGAGTGCCCCACTAAATCACTATTCTGAGGTTTTAGAGGGGAGAACATACCATCACAGCTACATCCGTCTGAGTTGAGGCGGTAGCCCGCTGCGCAGTAGCACTCATATCCCCCAGGGTAGTTGGTACAGTCCTGCTCGCAGCAGGAGCTTCCCTCTCCACACTCGTCCAGGTCTGTCAAACAAAGCACACAATTAAAAACATTACTGGGAGGATCATGATATTGGGATATGTTATTGACTGAAACTGATATAGAGGGTAAAGTGTAGTCTCTAGACTCAATATTAAAGGTTAGTCTCAAGACTTAATGGTAAAGGTTAGTCTCAAGACTGAATGGTAAAGGTTAGTCTTTAGACTGAATGGTAAAAGTTAGTCTCTGGATTAAATGGTAAAGGTTAGTCTCTAGACTGATCTGAGCTGAATGTTAAAGGTACGTCTCTGGACTGAATGGTAAAGGTTAGTCTCTAGACTGAATGGTAAAGGTTAGTTTCTAGACTGAATGGTAAAGGTTAGTCTCTAGACTGAATGGTAAAGGTTAGTCTCTAGACTGGATGTTAAAGGTAAGTCTCTGGACTGAATGGTAAAGGTTAGTCTCTAGACTGAATGGTAAAGGTTAGTTTCTAGACTGAATGGTAAAGGTAAGTCTCTGGACTGAATGGTAAAGGTTAGTCTCTGGACTGAATGGTAAAAGTTAGTCTCTGGATTAAATGGTAAAGGTTAGTCTCTAGACTGATCTGAGCTGAATGTTAAAGGTAAGTCTCTAGACTGAATAGTAAAGGTTAGTCTCTAGACTGAATGGTAAAAGTTAGTCTCTAGACTGATCTAAGCTGAATGTTAAAGGTAAGTCTCTAGACTGAATGGTAAAAGTTAGTCTCTGGACTGAATGGTAAAGGTTAGTCTCTAGACTGATCTAAGCTGAATGTTAAAGGTAAGTCTCTAGACTGAATGGTAAAGGTTAGTCTCTAGACTGAATAGTAAAGGTTAGTCTCTAGACTGAATGGTAAAAGTTAGTCTCTGGACTGAATGGTAAAGGTTAGTCTCTAGACTGATCTGAGCTGAATGTTAAAGGTAAGTCTCTAGACTGAATGGTAAAGGTTAGTCTCTAGACTGAATGGTAAAGGTTAGTTTCTAGACTGAATGGTAAAGGTTAGTCTCTAGACTGAATGTTAAAGGTAAGTATCTGGACTGAATGGTAAAGGTTAGTCTCTAGACTGAATGGTAAAGGTTAGTTTCTAGACTGAATGGTAAAGGTTAGTTTCTAGACTGAATGTTAAAGGTAAGTCTCTGGACTGAATGTTAAAGGTAAGTCTCTGGACTGAATGGTAAAGGTTAGTTTCTAGACTGAATGGTGAAGGTTAGTCTCTAGACTGACCAACACAGGTCTTGAGGTCCTCCTCCAGTCGGTAACCCTGGTTACAGCTGCAGACAGGGCCGCCGGTGGAGGGCTGGCAGTGATGGGAGCAGCCTCCGTTGTTGCTATCACAGCTGTTGACGATCTCCATCTCAATCCCTGTCACACAGAAATACATGAGATGACACTCAGATTACCTCTGATTGAGACATTTCATACATTTCAGATCATGTCAAATAATCAAAGAGATGGAGATTATTATAGGAGCCAAACTCACGGTAGCACTGGTGTCCGTCTGCTCCCAGCTCGTAGGCAGTCTCACAGACACAGGCGAAGGAGCCCAGGGTGTTGTGGCAGCCATGAGCACAGCCCGTCTGCTCCGACTCACACTCATCAACATCTGGAACAGAAAAACAAAGCGTCTATACATATCTATACTAGAACTTAAATACAGAGACATGATTGGCCTTCTATGAACAGTAGTGCAGTAATCAACAGACAGACATCTTTTTTACCCTCACAGGTCTTCCTGTCCTCTGCTAGCTTGTACCCATTTCTACATTCACAGCGGGCCTTGCCACCATCAACAAGACAGTCGTGCTTGCAGCCACCATTCTTATCTAGACATGGATTCTCCACTGTAATACAGAAGACAACGATTAATGTTGACAGCGCTTTATCTTGACAAACATCAATTTCTTACAAACACAATCAGTGTGGGATTTTTTCTAGGTCATTTATCTCAAATGCAGAAGTACATCACATACAGTATACTGAGTGAATACACACTGACATAACCATTCAAGACAAAGGCCCCAACTCTCCACTGGGCTGAGTATCTTTCTGCATAGTTGTGACTGTTTAACCTGTATCTGTCTGTCCTATCCACTCCAGCAGCTGGGATGAGAAGCTTTAACACTGCAGAAATGAGAGGAAGCTGGTCCTGGCCAACCATTCAAATGTAAAAATGTCTAAAAGACAGTTCTTATTGTAAAATCATAATCTTCCCTCGCTCAGAGAGCGAGAGAGAGAGAAAGAGAGAGAGAGGGAGAGAGAGAGAGAGAGAGAGAAAGGAGGGCTCTGCTGCCCAAACATTCCATGGCTGTGCTTTGCGTTGCCAGAGTATAATGTGAACTAATGTTGTGGAAAAACATGAAAGATGAGTGAACACTTCAAATCAGGGTCTGATTCACACCAATTTAAGGTCTCATCTCCTGAATGGAAGGAAGTCCAACGTAGACATCCTGTTGGACATGAACTATTGGCAGCTATGAATCTACAGTGTTATGACAAACCCTTGGACCTAAAGGACACCTTGGATTCCCAAATACCCTTCCCCTAACACTATAAATGACAGCTTGTATCTTGCCTACACTCTCCCCTCTCCATCCATCCATCACATCGCTATTTTGGAATGGCATAGTTACAGCGTAAAGCTCCTCCAAGTATGGCTATCCATCTTTATTATCTAGCTGCCTCTCTGGGTTACACGTTTCCATTAGTTTCATGTCTGTATCGGGCTACCGTCTCTCTTAGCTGCCTTTCACTCAACATGCACTGAAAGCTGCTCTCTGTGTCTGCACTTATGATTACCCCAGCCAAAGATCATGATCAGTAATGTAGCCCATATTTGTGGTGAAAAAGAGAAAACCACATGTTTTGTGTTACATCACAGCCTGTCAACTTGCCCGCTCTGCAGTCTTTCTACTAAACATACTTCATCTGCAGTTTCTCATCTCAAACCTGAGGCCCAACGGTACACTGGGAGAAGGTAAGCAAACTACATTTAATGTGACCTGGGAGCTTATTTCTTATTTGTTTGTAATTGGTTGAAATTTTGTTTTCTCACAAATTACTTCACCTAGAGGGTATTTCAGTATTTGGCAGGTGCTTGGATATATTTAATCATCTGTGAGTGTGTGTGCGTGTGCTGTCAGGTGCACAGTAGTGTGCAAAGGCCAGAGGATGATGATACTCACATTTGCAGTGCTTGCCATCCTCAGCCAGCACATAGTTAGCTCTACAGCGGCAGCGGAAAGCAGCAACGGACTGCTGAACACAGAAATGCTCACATCCTCCATTACTGATTCCACATGATTGGACAGCTGGACACAGACAGACAGACAATACATTTTTAGAATACATTTTGAGAGGGCGCAGTAAACGTTGTTCCTAAGTTCCTTTTGAGTTTTGAAATGCATTCTTTCAGATATAAACCTGAATGTAGCGAAGCTTCTACCCTTCACTCTGCGTCCTTTGCTGTTTCTGAAAGGTTGCAAGCTCAGACGTGTTACCAACACAAACACTGTGCTAAATACCTCAGTGAATTGTTCTGCTCTGACCCATTAAATATCCATCCTCATGCCTGTAGGGTTAATAGCCACACAGACAGCAGATGGAAGGTCTTCAGTGGTGGAGGACACTCCTCCTGAGCTGATGAGGTGAAGCCAGAGAGCCAGCACACTGACTGATCTCTGCTTTTTATATCTCTCTGTCTCTCCCAGTCAGCCACAGTATCTCAGGATAAAAACACCAGGCCCAGCCTCTGATTGACCTCCTCCTCTGGGAGAACAATACGTAGAGGCTTTAACAGCAGGTGTTGTCTAATTGTGTTTTGACAAACTGACTGACTGGACACATTATGCATCCACATGCTCTGCTTGATAAGACTGACCTCTCCAGCTAAACCATATGCTGGATATGAAAAAATGACTGATATGTTGAAATGATATCGGAAGACATCTGGTGTTCCTTTCCTCTCCTGCCTCTGTGGCTAATGGTTGCAAAATGATATCGAGAGAGAGCGAGAGATAGAGCGCGCGAGCTAGAGAGTAGGAGAGAGAGAGCAGTATCGCTGACTCGCGAGATCTCTCTCTATACTCTCTATCTCATCTCTCTCTCTCTACCCTCCCTCCCTCCTCCCTACCTCCCTCCCTCCCTCCCTCCCTCCCTCCCAGTGGTACAGCATAGTTCCCAGACGCCGTCAAGAGAAAGATATGCAGCCTCACAGACACGCATCACCCCTGAGACAGTCCACTTATGCACTGTGATTATTAGTGCAATCAGTCATTATCACCACACCACAGCCATCACACAACAGGCAGTGACACTAGGGTCCTCCTCTCTATTCTCTCTCATTCCTACACTCATATCATATACATTGTCTTGAAGCCAAGAAAAGCAGCTTACATTTCCATTCTAAATGTCAGAGAAGACGCTCTCTATACATTCCTTTGCTGTGCGAGTTGAGATTGAGAAAGATTATCTTTTCAACTGAATTGAGACCTTTCTATACTGTAGTTCCTGAGGACTATACTTACCCATACCTAGACCCTGGGTTTTCCAAAAGCTTCCACAGACTAGAATGACACAATATGTTTGTGGTTTGTATATCATGATGATGTTGTATAACATAGGGTTATCAGGTTCATGGGCCACTGGTTGCTATTGTTACTCACCAATGCAGGTGCGTCCATCCACATGGAGTCGAGAGCCTGGGTTGCATTCACAGTGATAGGAGCCCCTGGAGTTCACGCAACTGTGCTGGCAGCCCCCGTTGTGGACTTGGCACTCATCAATATCTGCAGTGCATGACCACACACGCACGCACAAACACACGCACACAGAGGAAGGGAAATTAGAGCAATTGTCCTAAATGTTGTCTCATTATCAGCAAAGTATTCCTGGAGAGTAAACTCCAGAAAGCTTCCATGCTCTGAAACTGGAATTTAAACACAGCTTTAGGAGAAAGATATGCTCCTCTAAGACAATTGTAGGCCAGACCCACAGTGAGATCAGAGGTGACCCGTTCTGCTTTGACTGGTAACATTCTGTCTGTCACCAACATGACAATTAAGATATTAACCCCAATGAGACACTTGACAAAAAAAAAAAAATACAGTACATCAAACTGTTGAAAACATTCACAGTTCACACGTTACTTATTTCTCTCTCTCTCTCTCTCTCTCTCAATTTCAATTCAATTCAATTTAAGGGCTTTATTGGCATGGGAAACGTATGTTAACATTGCCAAAGCAAGTGAAGTAGATAGTAAACAAAAGTGAAATAAACAATAAATATTAACAGTAAACAAACACTCAGAAGTTCCAAAAGAATAAAGACATTCTAAATGTCATATTATGTATATATATACAGTGAGGGAAAAAAGTATTTGATCCCCTGCTGATTTTGTACGTTTGCCCACTGAGAAAGAAATGATCAGTCTATAATTTTAATGGTAGGTTTATTTGAACAGTGAGAGACAGAATAACAACAAAAAAATCCAGAAAAAACGCATGTCAAAAATGTTATAAATTGATTTGCATTTTAATGAGGGAAATAAGTATTTGACCCCCTCTCAATCAAAAAGATTTCTGGACCCAGCTGTCTTTTATACAGGTAACGAGCTGAGATTAGGAGCACACTCTTAAAGGGAGTGCTCCTAATCTCAGTTTGTTACCTGTATAAAATACACATGTCCACAGAAGCAATCAATCAATCAGAATCCAAACTCTCCACCATGGCCAAGACCAAAGAGCTCTCCAAGGATGTTAGGGACAAGATTGTAGACCTACACAAGGCTGGAATGGGCTACAAGACCATCGCCAAGCAGCTTGGTGAGAAGGTGACAACAGTTGGTGTGATTATTCGCAAAAGGAAGAAACACAAAAGACCTGTCAATCTCCCTCGGCCTGTGGCTCCATGCAAGATCTCACCTCATGGAGTTGCAATGATCATGAGAACGGTGAGGAATCAGCCCAGAACTACACGGGAGGATGTTGTCAATGATCTCAAGGCAGCTGGAACCATTTTCACCAAGAAAACAATTGGTAACACTACGCTGTGAAGGACTGAAATCCTGCAGCGCCCGCAAGGTCCCCCTGCTCAAGAAAGCATATATACAGGCCTGTCTGAAGTTTGCCAATGAACATCTGAATGATTCAGAGGAGAACTGGGTGAAAGTGTTGTGGTCAGATGAGACCAAAATCGAGCTCTTTGGCATCAACTCAACTCGCCGTGTTTGGAGGAGGAGGAATGCTGCCTATGACCCCAAGAATACCATCCCCACCGTCAAACATGGAGGTGGAAACATTATGCTTTGGGGGGGTGTTTTTCTGCTAAGGGGACAGGACAACTTCACCGCATCAACGGGGCCATGTACTGTCAAATCTTGGGTGAGAACCTCCTTCCCTTAGCCAGGGCATTGAAAATGGGTCATGGATGGGTATTCCAGCATGACAATGACCCAAAACACACGGCCAAGGCAACAAAGGAGTGGCTCAAGAAGAAGCACATTAAGGTCCTGGAGTGGCCTAGCCAGTCTCCAGACCTTAATCCCATAGAAAATCTGTGGAGGGAGCTGAAGATTCGAGTTGCCAAACGTCAGCCTCGAAACCTTAATGACTTGGAGAAGATCTGCAAAGAAGAGTGGGACAAAATCCCTCCTGAGATGTGTGCAAACCTGGTGGCCAACTACAAGAAACGTCTGACCTCTGTGATTGCCAACAAGGGTTTTGCCACCAAGTACTAAGTCATGTTTTGCAGAGGGGTCAAATACTTTTTTCCCTAATTAAAATGCAAATCAATTTATAACATTTTTGACATGCGTTTTTCTGGATTTTTTTGTTGTTATTCTGTCTCTCACTGTTCAAATAAACCTACCATTAAAATTATAGACTGATCATGTCTTTGTCAGTGGGCAAACGTAGAAAATCAGCAGGGGATCAAATACTTTTTTCCCTCACTGTATACAGTGTTGTAACAATGTGCAAATAGTAAAGTACAAATGGGAAAATAAATAAACATAAATATGGGTTGTATTTACAATGGTGTTTGTTCTTCACTGGTTGAGGTAGTTGGGTGGGCTAATTACAGATGGGCTGTGTACAGTTGCAGTGATCGGTAAGCTGCTCTGACAACTGATGCTTAAAGATAGTGAGGGAGATAAGTGTCTCCAGCTTCAGAGATTTTTGCAGTTCGTTCCAGTCATTTGCAACAGAGAACTGGAAGGAATGGCGACCAAAGGAGGTGTTGGCTTTGGGGATGACCAGTGAGATATACCTGCTGGAACGCATACTACGGGTGGGTGTTGCTATGGTGACCAATGAGCTAAGATAAGGCGGGGATTTACCTAGAAGGGATTTATAGATGACCTAGAGCCAGTGGGTTTGCCGACGAATATGTAGTGAGGGCCAGCCAACGAGAGCATACAGGTCACAATGGTGGGTAGTATATTGGGCTTTGGTGACAAAACGGATGGCACTGTGATAGACAACATCCAATTATTTATTTTTTTCACCTTTATTTAACCAGGTAAGCCAGTTGAGAACATGTTCTCATTTACAACTGCGACCTGGCCAAGATAAAGCAAAGCCGTGCGATAAAAACAACAACACAGAGTTACATATGGGGTAAAAAAACATAAAGTCAAAAAATACAACAGAAAATATATATACAGTGTGTGCAAATGTAGCAAGTTATGGAGGTAAGGCAATAAATAGGCTATAGTGCAAAATAATTACAATTAGTATTAACACTGGAATGCTAGATGTGCAAGAGATTATGTGCAAATTGAGATACTGGGGTGCAAAAGAGCAAAATAGATAACAATATAGGGATGAGGTAGTTGGGTGGGCTAATTTCAGATGGGCTGTGTACAGGTGCAGTGATCGGTAAGGTGCTCTGACAACTGATGCTTAAAGTTAGTGAGGGAGATAAGAGTCTCCAGCTTCAGAGATTTTTGCAATTCGTTCCAGTCATTGGCAGCAGAGAACTGGAAGGAATGGCGGCCAAAGGAGGTGTTGGCTTTGGGAATGACCAGTGAGATATACCTGCTGGAGCGCAGACTACGAGTGGGTGCTGCTATGGTGACCAATGAGCTAAGATAAGGCGGGGATTTGCCTAGCAGTGATTTATAGATGGCCTGGAGCCAGTGGGTTTGACGATGAACATGTAGTGAGGACCAGCCAACAAGAGCGTACAGGTCACAGTGGTGGGTAGTGTATGGGGCTTTGGAGACAAAACGGATGGCACTGTGATAGACTACATCCAATTTGCTGAGTAGAGTGTTGGAGGCTATTTTGTAAATGACATCGCCGAAGTCAAGGATCGGTAGGATAGTCAGTTTTACGAGGGTATGTTTGGCAGCATGAGTGAAGGAGGCTTTGTTGCGAAATAGGAAGCCGATTCTAGATTTAACTTTGGATTGGAGATTCTTAATGTCTGGAAGAAGAGTTTACAGTCTAACCAGACACCTAGGTATTTGTAGTTGTCCACATACTCTAGGTCAGACCCGTCGAGAGTGGTGATTCTAGTCGGGTGGGCGGGTGCCAGCAGCGTTCGATTGAAGAGCATGCATTTAGTTTGACTAGTGTTTAAGAGCAGTTGGAGGCTACTGAAGGAGTGTTGTATGGCATTGAAGCTCGTTTGGAGGTTTGTTAACACAGTGTCCAATGAAGGGCCAGATGTATACAAAATGGTGTTGTCTGCGTAGAGGTGGATCTGAGAGTCACCAGCAGCAAGAGCGAAATCATTGATATACACAGAGAATAGAGTCGGCCAGAGAATTGAACCCTGTGGCACCCCCATAGAGACTGCCAGAGGTCCAGACAACAGGCCCTCCAATTTGACACATTGAACTCTATCTGAGAAGTACTTGGTGAACCAGCCGAGGCTGTCATTTGAGAAACCAAGGCTATTTAGTCTGCCAATAAAAGAATGCGGTGATTGACAGAGTCAAAAGCCTTGGCCAGGTCAATGAAGACGGCTGCACAGTACTGTCTTTTATTGATTGCGGTTATTATATCGTTTAGGACCTTGAGCGTGGCTGAGGTACACCCATGACCAGCTCGGAAACCAGATTGCATAGCGGAGAAGGTACGGTGGTATTCTAAATGGTCGGTGATCTGTTTGTTAACTTGGCTTTCAAATAGTTTCGAAAGGCAGGGCAGGATGGATATAGGTCTGTAACAGTTTGGATCTAGAGTGTCAGCCCCTTTGAAGAGGGGGATGACCGTGGCAGCTTTCCAATCTCTGGGGATCTCAGACGATACGAAAGAGAGGTTAAACAGGCTGGTGATAGGGGTTGCGACAATTTCGGCGGCTAATTTTAGAAAGAAAGGGTCCAGATTGTCTAGCCCAGCTGATTTGTAGGGGTCCAGATTTTGCAGCTCTTTCAGAACATCAGCTATCTGAATTTGGGTGAAGGAGAAGCGGGGTGGGGGGCATGGGCAAGTTGCAGTGGAGGGTGCAGAGCTGGTGGCCGGGGTAGGGGTAGCCAGGTGGAAAGCATGGCCAGCCGTGGCAAAATGCTTGTTGAAATGTTCGATTATCGTAGATTTATCGGTAGTGACAATGTTTCTAGCCTCAGTGCAGTGGGCAGCTGGGAGGAGGTGCTCTTATTCTCCATGGACTTTACAGTGTCCCAAAACCTTTTGGAGTTAGTGCTACAGGATGCACATTTCTGTTTGAAAAAGTTATCCTTTGCTTTCCTAACTGATTATGTATATTGGTTCCTGACTTCCCTGAAAAGTTGGATATCGCGGGGGCTGTTCGATGCTAATGCCGTACGCCACAGGATT